CAAGTCAATAAGACCAAGTGGGAAAAATAATAAAAGGGGCAATTTCTTAGAACTCTACTTGTAGACTACCATGCCAAGTCAATAAGACCAAGTTCCTAATTTCAAATTCATGTGTTGTAATACAACTGTTATGAAAGGTCTTAAACTTAGTTGTGGTTCTAAGTGGTTCAAAACAATGTGTTTTTGGGACTGATCATAATGTACTCAGGATTAATCATTTTTTTTGTTTTTCTAAAATTCGTATAAAACAGATTGATACTCCAAATTGAGTGATTCCAAATCGACCAAAACCTTAAGAGACCAAATTACAATTTTTATTTAGATACAAGAAATYTGYATTGGCCAYTAAGTAGGAGAAATATGCTCAAAAAGAGGAAGGACAGAAGTTGTAAGTGTGCCATATGAAACTGTACTAGGATAAGTGTTGAGTTTGATTTCTCAATGCGTATCCGACTGTCCTTTTTGAAGGAAAAGTTGTTTAAAAACATGTAGGACCTAAATAACTTATTATAATAATTAGGGTCTGGTTTTATGTTCTGCAGGTAATAACAAAGTCAATGATCCACTGGTTGAATTTTTAAAAATGACTTGTAGGTTGCTCAGTCTATCAAAAGCCATAGCATGCCACATGTATCTACATATATAAGGGTGGTTTACTTTGCAAACCACTATATTAGTACAAATCGTGCTACCCACCTTCCTACCGTAGATTTTAATGATATAGGATCAAGATGAGATTGTTATTTATGTTAATATAAAATATTAATATTTCATGAAGTAAAAAAAACATAGAAGGGCAAAATAGTCAAACTTACTAGTGCGCCTATTCCAAGAAACCAGATGAACTCTGTGATTTATGCAAACATGATCAAAACCCTGGTATTCAAATTAACAAAAGATTCAAACGCAAATCCGAATCGCAGATAACCATGGGCGATATCGTTAGCGGTAAGAAAATAGGGTTTGATTCATGGCTTTAGATCYCTAAAAGAATCATATTTGCTGATATATTACATCGAACAGGTCCAAAGACAAGCGAAAGACTGAAGCTTAAACATTCCTTCTCGAACTTCACCAATACAGAAATTACTGTTTCATTAATGAAACTTTTTGATGAAGTTGCCTTATGAAATTGTGTCATTGATGAAACTGTTTACACTCTTTCACGACACTGTTTCATTTATGCAAGAAACTGTTTGATGAAACTAAATAGAAATCGTTTCACTGATTTCATGAAAACAGAAATTGATGATTGAACAAAAAAAAAAAGAAAAAAAAATACAACWATAAACTAATAAAATATATCCATGCATGCATGAAATTGATCTCCCAGACCTCATGATGAAACAAACGAAATATTCACAAATATCAACGATACAAACGCTTCATCACTCTCGAAATATCTCGAACATGTGTGTGTGTGTGTGTGTATATATATATATATATATATATATATATAAGCACACAACATACTATGATTTTTATTAAATAACTAATATTACAGCATTTGTTATGTGGTTAGTCTCTTGGTTTTTGTATCTGATAGCCAAAGGAATGAAATCAGGGCTCTTAAAAGTCCCCTTTTTCCAGGGAAATTTCAAATCATCGAYGAATTTCCACTGACAATTAAAGAAAAAAGGTCAGTAATCTGTCGGTAATTAGCAATACGTTACCAACGAAAACAGTTAAAAACAATAAAATAGTATATCTATCGATGATCCGTCGAAAATTACTGATATAATACCGAGGGTCATTGAAATAATTTTTTGGTTCAATAGAAATTAGATTTAATTTGTCAATTACTAATTAGGATTTTGTTTCAATTTAAGCATCACATCTTTAGTTTAAGGATTCTCAATTTGGGAGTATGTTTGATGCATGGACTTTGAGTATGGCTGATTTGTTTTCTTTTACATGTCTTTTTAAGATATATATGATTCAATTTAATTTTTTAAATTATTGTTTAAACTTTAAAACACATAATAAGTACAAATCATATATGTGCTTGGGTATCACAATACATCATATATGTGCTTTGTGTGGTCGATCAGATATGTAACACAATGATATAACAATGCATCTTATATATGCTTGGGTATCACACTGTGTCTTTTGTTTAACAGAGTCAATATTTTTAGGTATCACAGTGGTATCACCAGAGGACGGTGGCCGGAGAGAGAAGAGAGGAGAAAATGAGAGAAAATACCTAAAATGTACTTGCATTAAAATTTTAATTCAAAATTACCAAAATTATAAATTTTCTAATTYATCTATTGATTTGTGGTTGAGATTGAATCTCACGGTTACTATAAACTAGTCAGTTCTTCTTTGAATGTACCTCTATATATATAATGGATTATATTAAAATTCAAAATAAACTAGATTCTAGTTCATACTAAATCATTCACCATACACACACATACATACACATATATACATATACATATACATACACATATATATATATATACACATATATATATATATGTATATATATATATATATATGGAAATTTGTTGATATTTAAAAGATATTTATAAAGACAAATGATTATATCAAAAACCAAAATAAACTATATTATTACACATATTACATAAAGATACAAACCAAACGTTTTTGTAACACCATATTTTATCTTCGAGACTTCAATGATGTCATTTTCAGCCCCTGAATTATCATCCCCAAATATCTGCTTTGTAATTTCCAATTCATGATATGTACGAAACCAAAGCACAAAAYCATAAAGCTATCCAATCAAGAGCTTATTCAAAATAGCTTATTACGATAACACCGATCTGAACAGTTTATTTACGGAGTCTAACCTGCATGGAGCAGAAATGACCAAAAACCCCCGATAGCCTAGACAACGAAGAACACCGGAATGGCGATAGCAAGTATCACCGACAATTTACATGTTTTCTTTTTATTTGAGCTGCTCGTTAACAAAGGGTTTCCTGTATATCTGTCAAATAATTTACAAAAACATTTTCAAAATACAAAGACATTTAAAAAAAATACAGAATAAAATAACATAAAGATTAACTTACGATAAATTTAACTGGGAATTTCTTAATAGTGACCTCGGTATGGATCCCTTGAATTGATTATCCGCCAAATTTCTACATGAAAAATAGAAAATAATATAAATTAGAATAACTGAAGTTTGATACTATTAATATTTGGCAAAAATACAATAAAGTCTGTCTTAATTTTATTTAGTGTAAAAAAWTTTCTTTTCTCAATCAGTATAAAGTTTTAAAATATCTTATTTAATACAATACAGATCCCGATTTTTAACTCACTAATCATCTACTGATTTTGTAACATTTGATGACATGACTGTTAATTTTATCTTTCAATTCATTCATAAATTCTTTTGTAAACAGACGTTCACACATAAGATCGATGTTATGCTTGGAATTAAGAACTCACAGTTGTTTAAGGTTTAACATATCGCCAARGAAATCAGGTACAGATCCAGTCAARCTGTTATTATGTAAATCTCTGCARATATAAAAYAGATATTATATAATAATTATTTAATTATGACTAATAAATAATTAAAAAAAATGATTTAATTAAATTATAAATTCACATTATTTCAAGAGCATCCATGCTCCTAAAGTCCGGAAGTGGCCCAGAGAGGCTATAGCCATTCAGATTTCTGTCAAAAAAAAAAAGAAAAAAAAAAAAGACATTTATATAAAAATCAAAATTAAATCAATTTTTTTTATTAACTTGGATATCTAACTCTCTATGCGAGCCGACTAATCTCAGGACGACCACTTGCTTTGCAGATATCTCGGAGTCACTGTATTTGAACCTCCGTGGCCACAAAGAGATTTTTATTCCTTCTTGTATTTGAACATGAATCCTCCTGGTACTTTTGACCTTTGGAGCGAAGCTCAAACCAAGCAGGGACCACCCTTGTGGTTAAAATATAAAAATAAAGAGGAACGAGAAGATGGTTTTTACAGCGATGTTACACGAGGTCTAGGATCATCGTTGCATTCGATCCAATCCCATGAATATGGCGCGGGAAGACACGGGTCTCCGCCCCAATCGTTTAAAACGTCAAATGCGCTTTTAAGAGAATCTAAACCTTCGGCTACATTGATAAACGGGAAAAAAATATATAATAAGTTGTTCGTGTGATAAAATGGAAGCTAAAAATCTTCAACTGTGTAAAAAAAACAGAGCGTGTTAAAAAATATACCATCGTTGTCGTCGGTCCCATTGGTTAGGGCATCACTGATCGAAAAGATCTCGATGGCATTGATGAGAGGGGGAAGCGTGGAATCATCGGTAGCAATGATGGAGAAGTTAATGGTGCCATTGACGGAGAGATCCGAGACGAGTAATTGAGACACATAACCGATACGGGGTACAATTGGGAGTGAGAAGTTATCATCGTCTTTGTAGATTTCAAAAGATC